GCGAGCGGGTGCGCCGCGCATGTGAGATAGCGCGGAGAGGTGGTAGGGAAAACAACACAGGGCGGCAAGACCGACCCACGGGTGAGATGGCAGAAGAAACACAGGGCGGCAAAACCGACCCGCGGGGAACGCATGTCTTGAGCCGGAGGGCAATGAAGAGATAAGCAACGATCCATCAGTGGCGCTGCCGTCGAATACGTAAGAGCTAGGCAATGGGGGATATCGAGCGACATGAAGGCTCCGTGCCACGTTGGGCACGTGGGAAGGCGAGGGGGAAATATTGAGATGATTGAGAAGTCGCGATTTCGTCTGCGCAAAGATTCGATCGGAAGTCACGGCCCGCTCTTGACGGAGGGCCGCGCAATGGCGTCAGCGCCGCCGCATCCCCCCGAGCCCAGTCGCGGGCGCGAGTCGGCCGACGTCCCTGCTTGCTCTTCAGCCGCGTGTCGCCTGGGCAGTCTGAGCATATCGGCGGTGAAATCGATGTTCAGGGTGTCTTCCCAGGCGACGCAGACTCTGCTGCACGGCGCGCATGCGAAGACGTCGCCGCGAGGTTCCAATCGCTGCGCCAACATGGCCCACGCGGAGGTCGTCGCGCGCAAATGTGTCAGTTCGGGGAAAGGAAATGATCTCATCGTGGCCACGCACCCTTCCAGATAGTGGCCGATGCCGTCGACGTCTCCGTCGTCCATCCCGCAAAGGAAACAGCGATCGTGAACAGGGCTGGGGGCTGTCACCGAGGCAAGTCCTGCGTTGGCAGGCTGAAACCAGCGAGGCACAACAGCGAGGACTCCGGGCAGTCTGGCACCACGCGGGCCACGCGAGGCCCTGGGCCCGCTCGAACTGAAAGGTTTCACGAGAATGAACGTTTTGTTTTGGCGAGTCTGTTGATCCAGTGCGAAACAACGCGCTAATGTCCGTCTCCGCAAGGAAGGGAAGCATGACATAATAGAATCGAATGCTTCATTTGAGATCTTCGATACCATCAGCGCGAAAGCCTCGATGTCAGCGGCGTCGTCTCTTTCCGGAGACGACGAAGATGTTCGCGCTGCAGCCTCGCGCGCAGCCCGCGAGGACAGTCGAAGCTTCCTGCGCGCCGGCGTCAGCGAGCGGGCGCCAGAGTATGCGCGCCGCTGGCGAGCCCTCCCGCGCGGCGTCGGGTCGCCCACCGCAGGGGACTGCGAGCTCAGAAATGGAGAACTGGCAGCGCGCTGGTCGTCGGTGGCCATGGCGCCGAGGTACGACAGAGAGATCACAGGACAGCAATGCTGATCCACAATCAGGGAAAGAGCGGGGAAGCCAAAGCAGGCCGACAATGCCGAGCCACGTTTGCTAAAATCCTGAGCCGATGGAGCGAGCGGCCGCGCTGATTTTTCCTCCGCGCATCGCCGAAACGCGAGCTGGGGAAAAATCATATATTATATGCTACTCCCGAGCGGACTCTGCGCGCGTCGCCTGCTGGGTAGCGCAAGTTGCGTCCGCATTTACTATTTGCAATGATGGCGTGGGATATATGATGTCTCTGGGTGCCCCTTTCCGCTTTGGCTGTTGTTAATATACAGAACAATTTCTTTTTTTGGCAACGCAAGCGTCGCATCCACGCTCTCCTTCTTGCGAGGGCATTGCTACTTCCGCGGAAGTCGAGGGCGCGCGGCTGTCAGCGTGGCTCCCGCAGAGCTCACGCGCGCGATTTTCATCCGTTGCCAGTTGGCATTCGGCAATTGCAACGGCACCTCAAGAGGGCGGCGTACAATCGCAACGGCAACGCCAGTGCGCGACGTCCACTGGCATCTGGCGAAAGGCGCGATTGAAATTGGCCGCGGTGCTCAGGCAATACGGCATGCGCGCCGCCACGACTGGCCGCGGCCAGCCGCCCAGGGGGTCTATCTCGCGGGCGTCTTCCGACGCCATTGCCCGCAACTCTCGGGACCTCGTGCGTTGAATGGCCATGAGCTCTTCGATATCTGGGATCACCGGCACGTCGTCCACAAATGGCTGGTCGCCGTTGTCCGGATGAAGGCAGACCACATACATCGCGGCCACGCGGGCGCCGTAGTAATGTTCCAACATCCACCTGTAGATGTTAAGCTGCACCCGGTAATGATTTCCCTGGCAGTCTGACAATCGGCTTAATGGAAACTTCATATTCCCCCATGGGTTCGTGAACTTCGAACGTAAACTCTTCGCCCGCTTCCAATCGTATATGCACAGGCTGCCCGCGGAGTCTCGAGCCACGAAGTCGATTGACCCAGCAGGCCCCTCGTGCTCGGCGAAGATGGCCCACTCGGCGCGGAAAGCCGCCAGACCTTCCAGCGCGCCCAAGAATTCCAAGAACACCTGGGACTCGACGGCGTCGTGGGACACCGGAACGCGGTTGAGGTGGGCCTCGAACGTCTAGTGCACCCAGGTGCCCCGCCTAGCCGCCTCTTCTCTGTTCAGGCGCCATTCCTCCACGATCTCGTGATCCGAGAGAGATAGACCCTCCAGTTGGTTTGCCAAGCGGGGGGCCGCTCTCGCAGTTGCCCTCATCTCGGCCCAGATCTCGGCGTCGCAAGCCCCGTGCGAAACAAGTAACTCGTGCAAGCGAGCAGCCTCCGCCGTGGCCCGCAGCTCCGCGACCGCGTTTTCCGGGCGAGGGTGGCGCAAATAATCAGGTCGCGGCCAGTTCCGCCCGCTCCGCATCTTCCCAATCACAGCGCCAGCGTCGAAAACACTGCAGTACTCATGTATCAATCCCGTGACCGACCCATGCGTTCGCGCGCCGCTAATGTAATAGGTGTGCGACTCTTCGACGAAGTGCAACTGGGAGTCCCGAGGGTGAGCGTTGAGTCGCTCGAGCAAGCGGATCTTCGGAAGACGCGGCAGTTCGAGGGAGAAATCGCATGGGACTTGGGGCACCTGAGTGCCGGGCCACCCCACTGGCGGCAACGGGCAGAACAGACGCGAAGCCCTGCGCCGCATTGCCTCCTCTCGGTTCGCTGAAACCCGGGCAGCCTCCTGCGGCGCGAGCGAGCCCGACGACGACGCCGGCCCATAGGGGTTCGCTCGTTCGCGAGCCGCGCGCCAACGGATGATTGCGTCCAGCCTATGAGCGTCGATAGTTCCAGAAGTCGTGCCCCATGGAAGAGGGCGGCCGCTCTCGGGCCCCGGCCTCCGCGCGCCGAGCTCCACCAACAAGAACCACTTGTGCTCCTCGGCGTCCGGAATGTCGCCCCGCGCCAACCACTCGCGAACCGCTGGCAGACCTGCTCGGCGGTCTATCACAGTGGCGTTGCCGGGCCGCAGGATGACGGCCGCGAAGTGGCCGACGCTCGCGGCCCATCCAGTTTCGCGCCGCGGCGGCCCCCACTTGACGTAACGCCCTGGACCAGTCGGACCCCGCGGCTGGAGGATCAGGGCGAAGCCGAGATGTGACAGCCATTGGTTTCCATGCTCGAGCGCACGGAATGGGCCTCGCACGCTGGTCGACACGTGTGCCTCCAATGCGTTCAGAGCCAAGCTGAGACACGCATGGGTGGCAGCAACGTGCTGGTCGTCGGCGGCCATGGCACGAAATGCAACAGAGAGGTTACAGGACAGCAATGCTGATCCACAATCAGGGAAAAGTGGATAATCAAAACAGGCCGGCAATGCCGAGCCACGTTTGCTAGAATCCTGAGCTGATGAAGCGAGCGGCCATCGACGAATCGCGACGGCGAGTGCAAGGTGGCCTCGATGTTCGGGTAATTACGAGAGAGTATATTTGATATCGTATTCTGTCTCATGATATGCTTACGTAACCCTATTCGCTTTACTCCTTGTCAACGCTATCCCTGTCTGGATGTGATAAATTTTCCCCCGGGACAGCGCGAGCGCATCTCGGGGGAAAACTGCCGGCCGCGGTCTTCAGGATTTCCGCCCAGCTGTTGAATTGGACGCCGAGTGCGCCCTCACCGCTGTAAGTGATGTGCAACAGCGCGCCCTCGACTTCCTCGACGCGGCGCACCGACTGTGCCGTCGGCAGAACGTGCCTGCTGAAACCTTTCCACACGACTACCGAATCTGTCCCTGAAAGGACTGCCGCAGCGCAGCAATGCCTCCGCATATGACAGAAATACTTTCCGGGCACGAGTGAGCATGCACCCTGCCGCGAAGCCTGCTGGCGCGCGACGGCCAGAGAGAAGCCGAAGTGGTCGGCGACGTCGGCGTAGCGGCGCTCCGCGCCTCGACGAACGGGAAATCGCGCACAATAGTCGGTCGAGCCGCAGAAGTCTTGCATGCAGTTTCCATATTGCAGGAGAGCTCGACAGCCGCGCACGGCGGGCGGCGAGGGCTCTACCCAGACGCCGAGCTCTTCGGCCGCTGCCAATTCCGTCGCACCAATTGGCACTTCGTCAAGCAGTTGTGACATCTCCTTGCGCCAGGCAACAACTTTGGCCTCCCACTGCCGCTTGCTGACGTCAGGCAGGTAGGGGTCTGGTGTCGCGGGCCTCTCGTCATCTACCAGCTCGCCAGTGCTGCTCAGGAGCTGGATTGACACATTCTCGATGGACCGCTTGACACCGGAAACACATCGGATTCGCCTTCTGCGCGGGTCGGCGTCTTCGACAACCGCGAGAGCATCGCGCATGCCAGGCAGCGCGCGGCGAGGCGATGAGGTGCCAGGGCGGCAAGGCCGACCCACAGAGAAATACGGGTAAATGCAAAGCGAAGTGAGCACAGGGCGGCAAAGCCGACCCACGTACAAGATATGCCTTGAGCTCACGCGGCGAGTGGCGTCTCAGGAGGCGCACAGATACCTCTGCAAAGACAAACCTGCTCATACGATCATTGTGCATCATTTTGTCCCAGTCTTTTCCGATCCATATAAAGTCATATATGGCATGGTGATGGATGTATGTGAACAATCATTAACTTTGTATTCCCCCACTGCGCGTGAGCTTACCTGCTTGTAGTGCAGTCGGCGAAGCAAAGAGCAATGCAAGGGAAGAGCGGTGAAAAAGACTCCGTTGCCGCAGGCCTCACGCCATCATATTCAGGAGCTCTGACAAGGGACTGGCGTCGCCGCTGTCTTCACCGGCTGCCTGCGGCGCAGGGGACAAATCAATGTGAAACGTGACTGCTAGCCTCGAATCTCGCCCGACGAGGACGGCATCGCGGAGCTCTTCCAGATTCATCTCGCCGGCTTTGTCACAGAAATAGACCGTCGCCTTGTCGAGCTCAGCCCCCGCGTGGACTAGTGCGCATGATGGCGAACCATGCCCGTCCATGTGGAGCAGATAAAACCCCTGCTCGCAGGCATCGAAGCCCAGCTGCGGCGTCATTGACACGCCGTGGCTCAGGCAACACTCCGCATACGTTCTCCCCTTCTCCACGCTGGCGGCATTGTTCTCCACGGACGTGGCACCAAAGCTAGAGACAACGGGCGCGGAGACCCTGGCGTCTCCGCATCGCCACAGCGCCAGCAGAATACCATCGCGGGCTTCAGTAGGTTTCTGGGCGCCGCATCCACCGACCGCCACGCCCCGCAGCTCGTCAGTGCCTCCGCGATCGTCGGGTGGGTCTTCTCATTGATTTTGACTACGAAGCCTGTTTCCTTCGCGATGTGGGCACTCGCGTCAGCGGCGTAGTCCGCCACGGAGGCATGCCTTGCGAGCACCGCGTCTCTGCTGATCCTGACGCCGTCGAAATGCAGTGACAAATGCTTGACCGGCTGCGTGAGCACCCACGTATGCCACTCGCGGAGGATGTAGTCCTCCGCGCGCTGGTAGAAAGCAGAGAACGTTTCCCCCTCTGGCCATTTCTCCGTCTTCTCGCCGTCGCCCAGCGCGGCGCCTCGGCAGAAGCTGCCGTAAACCTCGGGCAGCGCCGAGCATGCCAGCCAGCGCAGTACGCGGCTCACGCGCTGCAACTTCATGGCGAAGGGCTTGGCATCAGCATCGAAAGAGCGGGACCCGCCGATGGTCTCGAGTACGAAGCGTTTGGCCGCCTGGGGCCCCATGTCGGGCAACTCGCCCCGCAGTACCTCGCCCCTGTCCTCGGCCAGCCGCTTCAACAACTCCAACTCCTCCTTGAACAGGTCCTTATCGGCCATGCCAAGTTGTTCCACGAGTTGCCAGACGATGGTCAGAACTGCGCTGTGGATGTCGAGATCTACGGTGCCTTGCAGCATCGCATGTAGCACGCGCGCCGGGCACCCCTGCGCCGCCGGACCCTCCGCGAAGCGACGGGCCGCAGTGCGTTTGTATGTGTAGGGGGTGCTGCGCTCCGCCATGTCGATGCCACCGCTGGCGCTTCTCTTCACAATGATTTTCCTCCTCTTCTCCGCTGGTGCGTCGGCGGGGACCACGGTCGGCTTCTCGCGCGCGCCCTCGAGCAACTCTTCCAGAGCGTGCTCTGCTGCCTTAATGAACGCGCCGACCGCGCGCAGATGGGCGTTGTCGCCCACCTCGGGCTCCATCCCACGTTTCTTCCGCCCGCGCGGCTTCGGGACGGCCGCTAAAACACTAATCATAATGTCGACGTTGCGTTTGCGACAAGCGTTGCCGTTCGCGTAGCAGCCCAGCGCCGCGCGGTCCCACTGCTCCGGGGGCACGGTCGGGACCTCCACGTTCGGCTCCGGCACAATATCACTATATTTGCGAATGGTCAACAATTTCGGTAACACCGTCTCCTTTGCTTTGCCATGCAGACCAGCTTTATACCATCCGCTGGACTCCATCGCCTTCCACACCGTGGGTTTCTTCTCCGGCAAGCCCTGAATCTGCCCTGTATGAATCTGCTTGAAATATGGGAACGTCAAGGCGTTGAAACTCCGCTCGAGCATCTGGCCGAGGAGGCGGCAGCGCAACTGTGCCATGGGCTCCACCGTCTCCTGCGAGCCGCCCCCCGACCTCGAAGTCGACTCCGGGCGGCGGCGCAGCCGCGCTGCTCTGGCCGCTCGGCTTCGGCTTGCTCAGCTCCGGGAGAAGACACGCCTGTCGCATGCATTTCTCCGTGATTCCGTTATCTCCTCCGCGCAGGCAATAGTCATCTATCACCGACCTCGCTGCGTGGCGAAATTGACGCCCACGTCGTTCGCAAGGATCATGGTCAAGACCGCCTTCGTGGTCGACTCCAGCGACATGCGCGGCCCGCCAACGCGCTTGCTCATGCTCACCTCGCCTGACAGTGGTCCCAAAGCATTCGACAGGGGGCGCAGCTTCGACAGACCCCCTTCTCCCCGCTCTCGGCGATGCAATTTTTTTCCCCCGAGCGGCGCGAACGCAGCTCCAGGGGAAAAATGTGCGGTGTAGTTCTATATGTCGTTGTAGGATGGGGGGACGGGATGGAAGGGGGGTGGGGGTCTGAGCGCGCGAAAGCTTCGGCCCCCCCTCAACCTCTCGCCAGCACGCGCAGGAAGAACAAGCCCTCGAACAGCATCTGGGAAAAAATGACGTCGGAAGCTCCGGCACGCAACGTCGACGTTCGTGACCTCGTTGCCCCCGCGGCAGACGAGCCCGGAGCTGCGCGAGCTGCCCGAGCTCGTCGTCTGACGGAGCTTCGTCCGCAGGTCGGCCCACGCCGGCGGCGGCCAGCGGGTCGTCTAGCGCGGATCGGATGTTGGACAGCAGCTCGTCGCGCATGGCACGCTGCTGGGCGAGGGCCACGCACTTGGCATTGCCAGAGCAATGCCTCGCCGCGTTGGCAATGATGCCTGCCGCCGTCGCTGATTTGACAGTGCCAGGGTAGGCCTCGCACAGGGCAGCGCCATCTTCTCGGTCAAGTGCGCGGCCGATGAACTGCATCTGGGCGTTCGTGAACTTTTTGCCTATGTCCGTGGACTGCTTCAAGATCTCCTCGGAACTCATCTGCTTGAAGACACTGGGATTGCGATGGCCGCCAGCGGATGCTACGCCGTGCTCCGGCAGCAGCGACCGGCAGCACGGCGACGGATCAGTGCAGAGGCTGCGTTTCAAGACCGCGATAGCATTTGTCTCGGCGCCAACATATTCACCGATGCAAGCGAATACCCGCCCGCGGACTGACGTCCCGCGCTGCAGTCGCAGGAGCGGCCCCTCGTCAGCGCCCGCGGTCGCGAGGCACAGGTGGAACTCACCGCGCTCCACGGCCTCGACGAAGAGAGACCCTTTCTCACCGTTCGCGAGCGCGGGGAATACACCTGCGCCTGCCCCCGTCTGCTTCTCCGCCGCAGCGGCCGCGACCGCCCGCATCTGCTCTTCCGCCGCGACGAGCGCCACGTGATCGTGAACGTGGTCCGGGTCCACCACGGGGTGGTCCAGGATCAACGTGTCCCAGACGTCGAGGCTGCAGTCAACGTCGTTCGCGCAGGCTGGCACGAGGACGTTGCCGGTGCCGGAATAGGTGATTTCGCCAGCCAGAAACGCGTGAATGCAATTGTTTTTCAGCTGATGTACGACGTAAGGGGCCCACATGCTCTCCGGGACAACGTCGCCATAGTGCTTCTGCGCATTGTTGCGGAAAGATAACACTCCGCAGCTGCATTGCTCGCCGAGCATTCGGCCCAGCCCGACGCCTGGGCCGAAGCGGCAAGGACCCCGAGACACCACAAACTCCTCCAAGTCTGACCACCCCAGCTGCACGGGGGCGCCGTAGACCGCTCTCTGGAGGACGCGCCCGAGACCAGTCCAACGATCCAGCTCCTTGTTCAGCGCATCCTTGTTGTTCTTGATCCGAGGTTTCCAATCGAGGAGCTGCTCCTCCATGGAGTCCAGAATGCTTCCCAGCGCAAGTCGGATGCCCATGCTCGCTGGGCCGCGGAGCAAAGCAAACAGGCTCGATCGCTGACCAGAGGGAAAGTCTCGCAGAGCGGCCCTGGCGTAGGCGGTGCGGTCCGCGTCGACCGCGCAAGCTCAGGAGACGCAGAAACTCCTCACACTCTTCAGGGCGCCACTGCGGCCGCGGATAACGCAGGGGCGATCGTCGGCCCGCGAGCGGATGGTCTCGCGGTTGCTGGCTGCCACTGTCACGGAGAGAACCTGGGAGACTTTGTCGCCGACCTTGAAGCCTGCCTCCAAGGGCACGCCGAACTCCCAGGCGTCTGTGAATGAAGCGTTGCCGCGCAATTCGGACCCCCAATCTTCAATCTTGACACCGATGTCGGGTAGATCCAATGCGCCGCGTCGCAGGCGTGGCCGATCCGGCATGACCACGTTGTAGAAGATGACGATCTGAGGCGACATGGCTGAGACCAGGCCGGCAATGCCGAGCCGCGTACAGGAACGGGAGAATGGAAATAGCAGGCCGGCAATGCCGAGCCACGCAAGGGGTAGAATGACAGGCCGACAACGCCGAGCCACGCAAGAAGTATAATGACAGGCCGGCAATGCCGAGCCACGCCAAAAGGGTGATATCTCGAGGGAGGTACAGCTGCAGCTCTATTCTTCGCTCAGGCGGGGCCTCCCTGGAGGGGTGGGAGGGTACACGAAATCTGATAAATAGTGTTGTATTCGCACACTCTCCTCGCTCAGGCGGGGCCACCGAGGAAGGGTGGGAGGGGCACGAAACCTGATAAATATTATGGTATGGCATGGTACGAGTGGTGTGATATGGTATGGTAGGTATGGTATGGTATGGTATGGTATGGTATGGTATGGTATGGTAGATCTGGTGTGATATGCTATGTGATGTATCGTATGGTAGGTATGATATGGTATGGCAGGTATGGTATAGGGGAAGGAAGCGGGAGAAGGAGGAGAAGGAGAAGGAGAGGGTGTTCTAGGAAAACAACAACTCCACTGAGGATGTGAAGAAAAAAATCCAGCTGGACCTCGGTCTCAAGAGGCTCGTCGTCCTCGTCGTCGTCGTCGTCGTCCTCCTCCTCCTCGTCCTCGTGATCCTGCTGCTCCTCCTCGTCCTCATCGTCCTCCTCCTCTTCGTGCTTCCCCCCCCTCCTCGTCCCCCTCATCCCCTTTCTCCTCGCGGGGAGGAAGCATCCGAGGCGCGAGAGCACGACGAGGTGCGCGCACAGGATCGAAGGCCGTGAGACCGAACTCGCACGAAGTCCAGGGGACGTTTGTGTGGACTGGCACGCGGGAGCCCGTGCGGGGACAGACTGCTCAGATCCCTCTCGGCTCGAGGGGTTTGCTCTGCCCTGCGACGCAGACGACTCGAGGAGCCGCAAAGGCTCTCTCGATGCCCTGTCCCACTGTGGTCCGGCCACCTCTGCCTGAGACATCCTTTCAACTCTAGCCTCGGAGGTGCCCTGCCTCACAAAAAAACACTGTAGAGTTCACGTGGCCTAGTGAAGGCCATAGGGGAGCTCTATTGGGAATCTCCCCAAGACGCAATGGGACCCTGTGAAGGATTCAGAGAGATGTTGTGCGTATGATTCTGGATGCCATTTGACGTCCGCTTCTGGATAGGAATCTGGACAATAAGATTTTTACCTTAAATCTCTCTAAAGGCACTCTCGAACACTTGAAAGTAGACCGGTAAACTCCCAGGGAATAGAAAAACTCATAAAACGGCGCGGTATTATCTCACCACTTACGAATGATTTTTCCTCCGGCCTTGGCGGGAGAAAACCACGGGGAAAAATGAACTAATAAACAATATGTCGTATTTTCACATGCTGGCGAGCGCCAGGGCCTGAACTATTACTTAATCTGTTTAACTTATTCAATTCATTTAATTTATTTTAAACCCAACAAATAAATACATTCAATTAACTCGGCTGGTCTGAGGTCCGCCAGACTCCCCGCCTGGGACTCCGAAGCAATAAATCAAATAAATTCAATTAATTAATTAAATTACATAATAGAATTGATTCAATTTGTTTAATCTATTTAATTCATTTTCTCAGCCTACCTGGCAGAGATTCTGGCGATCGCCAGGGACCGAACTATTACTTATTTTTTTAATTTATATTTTTACTTCATTTAAAACCCAACAAATAAAAACAAGTAGTTAATTCGGCTGGTCTGGGGACCGCCAGACTCTCCGCCAGGGACTCCGACAAATAAATTGAATAAGTGAGATAAATTCCATCAATTAAAGTAATTAGATAAATAGAAATGATTCCATTTATTTAATTCGCACGTGTGAATAAATTGAGTAGATTACATAAATTAAATAAATCGGCTTATTTGATTTATTTCATGTCTTTAATTTGTTTAACGTATCTAATTTATTTCCCAGCCTATCTGGCGAGATTCTGGCGATCGCCAAGGCCCGAACTATTATTCATTTTTTAGTGTATTTATTTTTTGTTTAACGCATCAAGGAAATAATTTAAACTAGTTCGGCTGATTTATTTAATCGATTTAGTTAAAGTACGTAAATATATACCATAATTAAATAATTAAAGTCATTGAACATATTGTACTGGAAAGATCTCCAATCATATATATATATATATGTATATATATATATAAATATGTGCACACATAGAGGTTTTTCACGCTTCGCGTATCCCCACCAGTCGCCCTGGCAGTGCAGCTTCCCAGCAGTTGCAGCCAGCCCCCCTCCACTCGCCGCCCTGCCCGCCGAGGTGCTGCGTGAGGCTCTGGCCCACCGCTTTAGGTTAATTCGTCTTTGCGCGGCCCGCTCTGACTGGACTCGCCGCTGGCGCTCTCGTTTGCGGCCGCTGACTAAAAAAGTATCCCCACCAGCCCATGCAGAAGATCTGCCCACGAGAGCTGGCAGGAAGCTGAAAGCAGAGACGCACATAGTCAAACAGAGCGGTCAAAGAGAGCAGGGGGGGTAACGCGTGGAGCCATGTCGGAGGCTATCTTGGAGTATCGGAGGCGCTTTGGAGGCCGTCTTGGAGCCCTCGTGGGACTAGGGGAGCTCTCTTGAGGCCCTCTTGGGGCCCACATGTGAGCCTTGGGGGGCCTCTTGGAACCGTCTTGGAGGCCATCGATCAAAGGAGGGGGTTCCCTTATGTTGTTCCCCCCCAGGGGCCCTCAAAACCGCCTCCTGGGCCGCTCTTGAAGTCCTCTTGGGGCGCTCCTGGGCGCTCTTGGGGCCGTCTTGGGAGTTTCTTGAGTCCCTTTTTGGGGCTCTCTTGGGCCATCTTGGGGCCATCTTGAGACCTCAAAAGCGCATCGGAAGCACCATCTTGGACGCTCTAACTCCTCGCAGAACTCCCCAACAAAAAACAGGGAGGGAAGGGGGATGGTACCCCTCCCCGAAGGGAAGAGGGGTTTCATTGGAAGAGGACAGAACGATATCGTTAGACCACCTACGCCCAGAGGGTGGTTGGTGGGATTAGTTCTTTATTATGTTTGCCTCCAAGGGCCTTCGCCAGTCCCTGGGGCGGGATGAAGAACCGGTCCTGGAGAAGGGGACCAATTTTGTCCAACTTTAAAACGAGGTGTCGGTGGGGCTGCATAGCGAACGCTATATCCGCTGCAATCTTGGCTCAAGATTGCAAAGTCCACTGTGCTAGTTGCACGACAGTGTGACTCTATCTGGATCATTGCATCAGACAACAGGCCACGTCTATCAATGATCCCTCTTTCCATCTCATCTCTTACTTCTCGATTTGTTTGCCATCAAGGGATGAGTTGTGGGATGCCTCGATACGTCGTCGACGTTGCCCTAAGGGTAGGGTTCTCAGCTTATTACCTCATGGTCAGGCCCTCAACCTTCACTTTTCACTTGGTAGCGGTGCTGGCTACATCTTTCCGTGACTGGATCTTTCATCAGGCGCTATGTGCATAACAGCCCACCGCGGCACAGTGGAATGCCCGACTGCGCCGGCTATCAACAGCTACATTCCCAATACTCTTCAACTTATAGGTAACCTACAGTCCTATACCTCCAGCTCCCCACCGCGTGGCCATACGCCACGCGCAAACCAAGTGCCGATGCACATCCGCAAACTGATGGCCACGTCAGACCAGACACCCAGTCGCAACCCCACCGACGCGACCGTATCCAATGATACGAAACCTAACATCATCAGCTACAACATGACCGTGCAGTATGTCAAGGTTGCTATATTTGGAACCATGTGGGTGTGCCTAGGTCTTGCCGTGGCATACATGCGAGGAGGACTGGGTGAGACACGCACTCGGGGCCCCTTCTGGGACCCCGCAGGCAACGCACCCTTCCGCGACTTTGTTCGCGAAGTACACGGCTTAACGTCGCGAGCGGAAGTACGACTCCACCCCAGCAGGCCGGTGCATTACAGCGCGGCTTAGGAGGCTTGGCTAGGGCACTAGCCATGAGGGCGCCGTCCACCATCATCAACTGGCGCCACCTTGCAGGGTAGACACACCGACGGAGTCACGTACATCATGTACCTACTAAGCACCGAATTTTAAAACCTTGAGGGCGAGCGACAGCTAGCCTCGGGGACAGCCCCCCTCGACTTGAGGGCCGATGGGGGCGAACGCATCGAGTCAGTACTGGCCCGATTCGAAGTGGCCAGGCTGGAATCAGACACAGCAGGCTTTCGCATGACCAACTTCCAGATCCTGACTCTCATCTCTTTTCGTGCCTCGGGAGTTGGCACCTCCCGAGCAGCGCAGCTGCTGCAACCGCTCAACCGCCAGATGTCCCGTACCCAACAACAATGCGACCAAGTTCTGGAGCGAATGCGCAGCCGCGGACACTTGGCTGAACCCCCCCCAGGAAACATCGGGAGCATCTTCAGCGGACGCAGCGCGGGCACCTATCATGCGGAAATAAACGACGCACTGGCAGCCATGCCAAATAGCATCTGGAATAACGGAGAGCCTACTGAGTCCACGACGCTTCCAGGCCAAGAAGCTAGCAACGAACGGGCTTCTGGCTCCAACGCGGGCTGGCAATCGGCGGCCAGCTACGCGCCACCTGGCGCGACCACCCTCTCGGGTTCCCCCCGCCAACATGATGGCGACGTCTACGATTCCGGCACGGATGCCGATGCGTTCTCCTCCACCGGTGCTGAAAACCTCGACTAGTCACACTTGCCCGCTGGCGATGACGCGGCAAAACAGCCCCCGCACCTAGGCGATCATCACGCCAGAAGAAGGCGGGGACGACGTGCGAAGAGACCAGTTCGGAGGTTTAGGCGCGCGGCACGTTGCGTCGTGCTCCATGGAAAGGAAGAGCCCGCGGCAAGGGTGGTAGGCGTACCCGCAGATTGCAGGGGAAAGACATAGCCGCGTTTCTGGCTCCACTGACTGACTACCACTTTGAAGACTTATTTGTCTGAGGTAAAAGCAGAGGCCAAGGTCGTAGGCATATTACT